CCTCGGTGAAAGTCCCCTTGACGCAAAAACGCTTAGCAAACTCAAATGCACCAAAATCAAAAAATTCTACGGAACAAAAAAAATCCTTAAGAAGGTTGACTCAAGAATAAATTGGATTATGAGCTCCGTTGTATAATTTTGGCCTAACCATTAAGTTCTAGATTTTTCTCTTTACTTTATCCCGAAAAAATAAATTGAGTTCGGATAGGCATTTTGGGTGCTGCTATTAAAAGATCCCTTCTAGCTATATTTTCTGTTACTCCACCCATTTCGACTTGAGTTGGGTTAAAAGCACGGAATGTATTTGCACCATCACCATCTTCAAATAAAGCAACGAACATGTGCGGAAATGCCACGCTTGCCAAGCTCATGCCCAATCCATCCGGGCCCCGGCCTCTCATTTCCAGCCTTGTAGACCGGCCATAAAGTTGAACAACTTATCCTTCTCTGACATTTCAGAGATATCTAACATCACATAAGTGAATTCCTAAAAGCCCAAAAAGTCGATCATTCCTCATAGTTTCCTAGAGGTAAGAAAGAAAATCTCCTTTTCGCGATAGTAATCCCTACCTAAGTCAAGGATTTGAGTAGAAACGAAAGAAAAAATCCGGATAAATCTACGCCAGATTTTTCCGGAAATATAACCTAGAATCACATCTTCATTATCTAACTGAACTCGGAACATGCCGTTGCGAAGCGATTCAGTAATTAAACCTTCGCGGATCCATTTGTCTTCTTTTCTTATGCTGGTTCGAAACGTTCGTTGCCATGGGTTGGCTTTCCTACGAGTCTAGTCTGGGGACGAATGAATTCAATAGAATATATTCATCGAAACTCATAATGAACTCGAAATTCCTATGAACGGTGAAATCGGGTTTCTTTTCGTCAAGTCTTCAAACCAGATGCCTTCTGCAGCCGGGTGTTCTACCAAAGTCTTAGGAAACACATACGCTCAACGGCTTTCTTCGGATCTCTTCCTCGTAGTGATCTACCGGTTCAGGAACTGCGGGCTGATTCTGAACTGGAGGGGGTACTGGTTCCTTCCCCCTTTCCCTAGCTTCCATGAACAGAAGTGACACCGATTCTTTTTTGTGGGTGCTTTTAATCTGGATTCCCACCTTCTTTCGAGGGAGGAAGCTGAAAGCATATCCCTCCTATATAAAATTCTTGAATGCGTTGAGCCTACGTGGCTGCTTCTGGTGCTTCGGAATCCTACTTGGTGAAGAATCATGCTTCGTAATTAGGTTTGGACAAATAATATTGATATATTAATAATTACTAATCTATGTTCGGACATTCTATAAATATTATTTAGTTAACTTAGATATTTTAATATCACTTGTACTAATATAACCTTTAATTCTTTGTAATTTTATATAGTGAAACACTAAATGACTAATATATCCCTAACTTTTGATTTGTTTCCTTCAATTAGCTATTGAATTGTATATGTGTTTTAAAAGTTGATAACTTTTGTATTTCTGATCATTTTTACATATATAATATATCAAATTAATCATCTTTTAATGATCTTCGATTTGACATCCATATTGTATATATGAAATATATAAATTATATTTATCTTTATAATAATAAAAAATAATAATATTTATTAAAATTCATTAAAAAAATAAAATTATTTCTTAATTGATATATTTATGTTTAATGTAGTTATATGTTATAAGTTAAAAAAATTTGTTATAATACAACACATGTAGATCACACAAAGTCACAAATAAAAAGTGTCATACATAATATAATATATATATATATATATATATTTATAAGAAGGTATTCAAAATTTTAACTACTTTTTCTCATTAATTTTAGATTTTAAGAAAAAATTAGCAAACACCCGTGTAATACATGGGCGTTGTACTAGTGTTCTATTATTATTATTATTATTATTATTATTATTATTATTATTATTATTATTATTATTATTATTATTATTATTATTATTATTATTATTATTATTATTATTATCGTTATCAGTTTCTTAGTTTTTATTTAAAGGGAGATCAATAAGGGGGTGATTGGATATGAATTCAACTAGTAAAAAATTAGTTTTTTTTTCTTAACTATAGTTAAGTTTGAAAAAAAGTAGTATGGTTAATTGGTAGTGAATATATTAAAATAATATTTATATTTAAATAATTAAAGTTGATATAAAAGTAGGAAAAAATAATTAGAATTGATGGTTAGTTAAAATTATGTGAGTAGATGAATAGTGAATTAAAATTTATGTGACGTGTAATAATGATTGGTTGATATAGCCGGTACTATTCCACCAAAAGCGACGAATGCGGCCGACCGTATTATATGGGGGTTTTCCGAGGATGGTCGATTCTCGACAAAAACTGCATTCCATGCCCTTGCCTCACACGATGGACCTCAGGACCGGCACCTTTGGAGACTTATTTGGCGCGCCCCTTGCCCGCAAAGAAGCAGAATGACGTTGTGGCTAGCGGCAAAAAATCGCCTTCTTACTAACGCCGAACGTAGACTTCGACATATTGCAGCAGTTTCGACCTGCGATTTCTGTGGGGACGAGGAAACGGCCCTTCATGTCCTGCGAGATTGCCCCTTGGCCAAAGAGGTCTGGCAGCGTCTGATTCCGGCTGGAGCGTTCGCGGATTTCTATCAGATTGATCGGACAGCCTGGCTTCGCCAAAACTTGATGAATTCTAGACAGTGCCAGTTCGATAAGTGGAACTCTCTTTTTGCAATAATTGTGTGGCGCCTGTGGTCATGGCACAATGATCGAATTTTCAAACAGCAATTTCCCACTTTAGAGACTCGGCTGATGGAGGTGCGACATTCTTTGTCAAATTATATTCCAGCTGCGGAAGCATTCTCTTCTCTTGGAGCTGCACGGTATGTCACGCGTTTGATCCACTGGATCCCTCCGAACCCGGGATGGGTTAAAGTCAACACGGATGGAGCCTTTATTAAAAGTACGGGCCTAGGTAGTGCGGGTGCTTGATTAGGGATGAGACGGGGCGCTGGCTTGGAGGATTCCTCCACAGTATTGGGGCCTGTACCATTACGGGAGCGGAATTGTGGGGGCTCTTCCAGGGTCTTGCGTTGGCATGGGACTTGGGGTATCGACGGGTCTCGATTGAAGTGGATAGTCAATGTGTGAAGACCATGGTACATAATCTGACCGGCTCGTTTGGTCAACATGAGGGCATGATAAGGGCAATTCGTGATCTTCTTGAGCGAGATTGGTCCGTCCATCTTAAGCACGTTCACAAAGAAGCGAATTTCGCGACGGATTTCCTTGCGAGCTTGGCAAATGCCGAACCGATTGGCCTCAAATGACTTCTCTCACCTCCCCCTGGAGTGGCCGTTTGGCTTGCGCATGATTATATGGGCGTGTCTCACCCACGACAAGTTCTAGCCTAGGCTTTTAGCCTCCTTATTGCACCAAAAAAAAAAAAAAAATTATATTGATAATATTAAAGATAGAAGATAGTGAAGTTGAGTTAAATTTGAGTTTTGAATGAGATATTTAGAAATCTTATACATTCACCCCCTAGACTACAATGATTGTGATTTGATAATAGACAAAGTTGAGGTAAGTGACAAAAGCAGAGAAGATAATGAAATGATAATAGCACAGGCCCTCCATTGTCTCCTTCCTCTTCACCTCCACCACCACTCCTCCATTTGACACACACACAACGCACGCACGTGCGAGGGTTTGCCCCAGCTGAAAACCAAAAAAAGCTGATTTGACTCGCTCAACACTCACTGTGAGAGCAAGCAATGATGGCTTAGCTTTTTTGCGCGTCATCAATGGAGATTTGTCGACGATAAGGTGCTCTGACCAGATTCCGGCGTTGCCACTCAATTTTGTCGTTTCATATTTCATTGGGTAAGTCCAATTTTCAAGCACCATTCTCAATTTCGCCCTAAAATTACAGATTAGCTCTCAGCAAGTGTGGGAAAAGGGATTAGATATAAGATATGGTGAGTGGGGAGGAGAAAAAAATTGAATTTTTTGAGGGGCAAATGTACAACTTTTGGGTAGCAAACATGTATGGGGGCCCCTAATCCCCACAAACCCTTTACCTTTCAGTGGATAAGAATCCAAAGAAAAATGATTATCTTTAACCTCACCCGCTTTTTCCATTTTTCCTTCTGTTTTTCTTTTTCTTTTCCACCATTAAACACTCTAATCTCTATATTCGATCGCTCAAATGATGAGTGGCAAAAGGGGGAAGATTATGCACAAATGATGGCGACAGGGAAAAAGGGACAAAAGGGCAAGAATAATGGCTTTAAAAATCAGGCCATTGAATAAACAATCTGTTCTCTGCACAACGCTGGAAAGGTGGTGTTTTTACTGTTTTACTCAGTTCTTGTTTGTATGCGGACTCCTATGTATCATGAAGTTACAGTATTTTACATTTGTTTGATTGTTTCTAAAAACAGTTTTTCCTTCCGAATATTGCTTTCCCCTTTTTCTCTCTCACATTGGAGCACTGAAAACTGCACTTCTCCCGGTCACACATTTTGCCTTTACGCTCATTCTCTACGGTGATAATACCAGTTTTCTGGTCCGTAAATTTTTTTTGTTATTGAATTAATTGACCTCGATGAGGATGAGGATGAGGATATCTGTTATATGGTGTGAGAAAAGTCTCCTGTGTGTTGTACACAGGTGGCTGTCCGTCCTTGAATGCCATTGAAGATTTCATTTTCACACTTTTTTATCATTTGCCTGTTGTTATATCTCATATTGGTTTTCATTAGCTCGTACCCCAGACAGTGTGCCTCTGCATATTAGGTTTTGAAACCTTTTGAATTATTCCTTTGGGAGTCATAGACTGTTCCATTAATAGTCTAATCATCAGTATTGAACTTATCGTTTATGTTGTTTTTTTCTTATGGGAATGGTAGGAAGCTCAGCTTACTGTATTACAATTTTCCACTTGCCTTGTAGGTGTTCGATTAGCATTAAAGAATAAAAGTTCTTGCAGGGAGCCTGATACATGAACATGAATATGGGTAGAATGGATTTAACAGATCACAACTCTGGATCCTCACAGTCAGAGGAATCTGCTTTGGATTTAGAGAGGAATAACTGTAATAGTCACGAGTTGCTCGAATCGAGTCCCCCGCCTTCCCAAGCCTTTGCAACAGGCGGCCAGCTCAGCGAGAGTAGTGCCGCCTACTTCTCATGGCCCGCTTGCCGGATTGCGCCTTGTGCGGAGGATAGAGCACTGTACTTTGGGAACCTTCAGAAAGGGGTTCTGCCCGAAACTCTCGGCCGGCGCCCGACTGGGTTGCAGGCCACCATGCTGCTGGAGGTGATGACGATCAGGTCATTTCACAGCAAATTTTTAAGGCGGTTCAGTCTTGGAACTGCAATTGGCTTCCGGATCAGGAAGGGCTCGTTGACTGATATACCAGCTATACTCGTCTTTGTGGCTAGAAAAGTTCACAGGCAGTGGCTGAGCCCTGCACAATGCCTGCCTACTGCTCTTGAGGTTTTTACACTTACGATGTTTTAATTGTTTTGGATTTTGTCCCAATAAATTGTGAAGAAATTGGTAAAACTGTAAAATAAAGATTGCAACTGGCGGACAATTCATAAGCAGTGTATTATTATAAATCATAATGGATCCTGATTTTAAAAGTATCATGTTTTTGAGTTTATCATAATGTTTTCTGCAGGGACCTGGAGGGATTTGGTGTGACGTTGATGTTGTTGAGTTCTCTTACTATGGGGTGCCTGCGGCCACCCCAAAAGAGCAAATGTACACGGAACTTGTGGATGGTTTTGGTGGAAGTGATCCATGCATTGGATCGGGTTCACAGGTAAATAAAAATACATTTCTTGAAAAAAACATATATACTGTTTTTCTCGTTTGCTTTTGATTTATATGTGATCTTCACGCATTCTCAATTGGTCTAATGTTTTGCGTGTTTTAGGTTGCGAGCCAAGAAACTTACGGAACCTTGGGTGCTATCGTGAAAAGCAGGACAGGAAGCAGGCAAGTAGGTTTTTTGACTAATCGACACGTGGCAGTTGATCTAGACTACCTGAGCCAGAAAATGTTCCACCCATTGCCTCCTAGTCTTGGGCCGGGAGTGTATTTAGGTGCTGTAGAAAGGGCCACGTCATTCGTAACTGATGATCTTTGGTATGGCATTTTCGCCGGCACTAACCCAGGTAATTACTAATCGGACCTTTGTATGCTATATGTGAATCGATGTTTCATTACACCTAGTTTTTCAACTAATCGGGCCTCCCTCGTATTTAAAAAAAAAAAAAAGAAAAAAAATAGAACCTTTTAAAATATTCTAAATCACGCAGAGACATTTGTCCGAGCCGATGGCGCATTCATACCTTTTTCGGATGATCTCAACATGGCCAACGTGACCACACTCGTGAAAGGCGTTGGAGAAATCGGCGAGGTCAGCACGATTGACCTGCAGTCACCCATCAGCAGCATCGTCGGGCGGCGTGTCGTGAAAGTCGGGAGGAGCTCCGGCCTGACAGCTGGCACCATAATGGCTTACTCCCTTGAGTACAATGACGAAAAGGGTATGTGCTTTTTCACCGACTTTCTTGTTGTGGGTGAAGACCAGCGAACATTCGATCTCGAGGGAGATAGCGGGAGCCTGATCCTGTTGACAGGTCAAGATGGGGAAAAGCCCCGACCCGTTGGCATAATTTGGGGAGGAACAGCTAATCGGGGCCGATTGAAGCTGAAAATCGGCCAGGCCCCAGAAAATTGGACCAGCGGAGTCGATTTAGGTCGACTTCTTGATCTCCTGGAACTCGATATCATCACTTCCAATGAGGCCCTTCACGGTTAGTTAATTTTCTAACTATTTTCCTAAACATGTTTTTTTTTTTTAATTGTTAATTTGGGGCCAAAGGTTACTTTTTGTTGCAGTAACAAAAGATCTGTAAATATGTTGGTTTCATGCTGCTTGAGGTGGATCAGTGGATGAATGTATCATAAAAACAAAGCACATGTTATAGGCTAGTTTGGTAAACTAGCTGATAAGTTAGCTTATAGATTTTAAGTGAATTTCGAGCTTATAACTAATAGTTTATGACTTATGGTTGAAAAGCTAGCTTATATGATAAAAATGTTTGGTAAAATTAGCTAGGCGATATAGAAATTTCAATGAGCTTATTGAAAAGCTACACAAGGAAGTCTATGATAAGCTCGAGCTTTTTAAAAAAATCACGTCTTACCAAACCAAACTTTAGTATAAGGATAATAGTAGAAACCACTCTCGAGACTTTGCTTAAATTTCTTGGGCTCTCTTTGTCTCGATGTAAATATCAAATTTTCTTTTCTCGTCTAAAGTTTATTTTTCCCCTTTCGAATTTGCGAAATAGCTGCACTACAAGAGCAGATAAACGCATCAGCAGCAAGGGTTGACTCGATCGTGGGAGAATGTTCTCCGCCCGACGAGAAACACAAATGCGAACTGAACAATGATTCTCAACTGAACCTAAATCAGCCACCACCCGAGCGTGATGAGTTTCGCATCGAAAGTAGTTCGTCTGAGGTGGTCCCCAGCATAGAGCACCAGTTCATCCCGAGCTTTTCATGCCACTGCCTCGTTGACCAAGACCGACAAGAAGTAGAAGAAAGGACTTGTCTGAAAAAACTGTCTGTTATAAAAGACGAGCCCGAAGGTGAGGTTTCTGTTTCACTGAGGCTAGGCGAACCGGACCTCAAGAGAAAAAGACGATCCGAGTCTCTGTGAACGGGGCCTTCGTGCGGGAACTATTGCTGCTGCTATATATTCTTATGCATTTGGATTTTTCATTTGTATATTTGTGCTGAGATATATACACAATGCTGCGAGAGGCAAATGGTTAGATGGGAGACTGTGATTGTTTTGGTTGTGTTTGAATCTGCCAGTGACTGCAAGAACTGTATTGTGTATGCCAGAATGTGTAAAGCTAATAATAAAACTAAATATAGAAGAAAAAAAATGTGGATAAGAAATTTTGGGAGTATTGTGTGCAACATCTGCATATACTCTGTCCAGAAATTGATACATTTTAAAAATTGCTCTCCAATTTCAGCTTCAATGTTGTTAAAATGGGTTTAGTGGCTGAAATTGGAGCAACAATGGAACAAAACAAACTAGTGATTGTCTTTTATTACAATAAATATGAATATTTGTCAATCATAGACATAATATGAAATCCAAAGCTAAAGACAAGATTTTCATACCTACAGTCTTTTATTCTTTTTGATTGATAAATAAAAAAAAATGGAATAGTTGGAGTAAAATAAAAATATCATAGGAAAATGTAATGGGACCCAAAAGTGAGACCACAATGAATACTAGATAGTTCAAATTAGATCACAATAGTTCTTGACAGCCTAATTAATTAATCAATTAACCATTAATTAATGGACTAATCACCTTGATAAACATAATAGCTAGTTGAGAACATAGATAGAGTCTAGAAACATATATACCATGGAGACCAAAAAAAAAGTCAAAAATGAAAGAAAAAGTGGGGAAGATGCTATGGTCCCGTACGGAACCATTCCGTCAGGGTTTGTAACCGTTAGATCAATTATCTCTGACAGTTACATGATGATCTAACGGTTACAAACCCTGATAGAATGGTTCCGTAACGAGACCTTAGCCTTTTCCTAAAAAGTGGTCCTTTTGAAAAATAAAGCAAATAAAAATAATAATAAAAAAAATCCTTCTCCCCATATCCTATTTGAAGGGAGAAGAAGGGTTTTTGGACAGGCAACAAACATGTCACACTCAATAGTTGTAATCCTAGGCCACAATTTTTTTTTTTATTTTTTTTATTTGGGTTTAATTAGAAAAAAAGAAAAGAAAAATAGCCATTAATTATCTCTCAAGAATATCACAGGTATATATATGTGCATGGTTGTCAGTGAAATTTCTTCTATATTTTCTCTCCGTGTGTTGGTCTGAGAGGTTGAAGCTGCCAGCATGATCTGGTTTTGATGCTTAATTTACATTTATTTATTTTATATATATATATATGTATTATTTATGTGTATACAAATTCTTTTCAAGGATTTAAGATTTCATTTCAAATTTAGATCACAATTAATCAACAGGAATTGGTTTAATTTTTTCCACAAATACAAATTAGTTATATATATAGTCATGGTTTAGAAATTAGTTAGTTGAGTGAGTTATTATTGATGGATCAGGTCATCTAGCAGCTTCAATCACTCACCAACAACACCAGGGCAGCCACTGATGATAAAATTAATGGATCTATTAGATGATCAATTGCATATATTTATTTATATATATATATATATATATATATATATATATATATATGTTCTTGGCCTTCCAGCTCATATATCATCATCAGGTGAGTTCTTGATTATTTTTAATTTATATATCTTCTTTGCTAAATTTTATCTCTCTTTTTTGATTACTAGGTTGAAACTTGAAACCATGTCTTTTTTTGATTAAAATGGATATATGGCATTGCAAATTAAGAATCATTTGGCTTCTTTTCAGACTTTTGAAATACAACAACAACATACCCAGTATATGTCCAGCTGGTTGAGGTCTGAGGAGTCAGTTGTACACAGACTTGACTCTTGTAATTATACAAGGAGGCTGTTTCCGTAGCGACCCAAGGTGCATTGCGTCGTTTGATATATTTTTTTTTTCTAGAAACTTCAGTAATAGAAGAAGCACTAGAATTTAATTGAGTTATTTTGATCTAGTCCATTTTTAGCACTATGCCAAGAAAATTGTCAACAATGATTCTTCCAGCTCCATTTGCAACGGACAAAGATTTTTGAAATAAACTTTGTAAATTTTTTGCATAAATAAATGTATCTTATTATTACTTTTCCCCACTAAAGAAGAATTTTCTAAATATATTTAACACTTTTTTGTTATCATGAATTACGAAAGAATTATATTTTGTTAATTAAATATAATAAAAAAAAATATAAACTTATTTGGGGTAAATGAAAAAAGAGGGGCCTCAATAGAAAATAACTTATTCAAACTCCTGAAGTAAAAAAGTTAGAAAATTCAGGCACAACCAAAATACAAAAAAATTAAGCATTGTAATGATTTTTATTTATTTATTTATTTATTTTTTTTGTATTGCACGGTGAATTATTAATATGAAACGAAATAAGATTATATGAAATACTATACTTTTTCTTCTTTTTCATAGGAAGATAATCATAATTATTTATTGCATACCTTGAATCTTAGTTACGTCTAAATATTAATTACGTTTAATGAGAAACAGACAGAAGAGAGTGAAAGTGCTACTATATAGTTCATAGGACTATTAATGCTCTTTAGTTGTCACATTAATTATTTAATTAATTTCACCATTTGTTGTCTTAAAAGTAATTATGAAAGAACAATAAGTAGAAGTTAGGTCTGCTCCCATTTATTTTTCCATAAATTTAGATTTAGGTATATATATGTGCAGTTCTCCACGTCTTTTTTTCCCTACTGATCATGACCAAATTTTGATATCCACCATAATTTTTGGCAGCTATGATATACTACTATTTAATTGATGTAATATATAGTTGCATTTAATTTTTCTAATCATCGTCTAATAAAATCAGTAATTTGTTGGGCATGATCAATTGAGAAAGAATTCTAGCTAAAATTCGAGCTCAACAAGTCAGTTAATAATTTTCAGATTGAAATGTCGTTAAAAGGTTAATTTATGAAATGGGGTTTCAAATAAAGGAAGATGATACGGTTCCATTACCGAACCATTCCGTCGGAGTTTATAACCGTTGATTCTATGACGGTTAAATGATGATCTAGCGGTTACAAATTTTGACGGAATGGTTTCGTAACGAGACCTTAGTATTTTCCTCAAATAAAATTTAACAAAGGTCAGTCAAACACGGGTTTGAATAGTTTGATTATAATTGTTTGATAATCAAATGTAATTTGTGTCACTCAATTTGGTCGGTTGATGGGGTCACTGAAATTAAGAAATTGATCTAACACACACTGAAATTTGTCTTCTTCAAACAATATATAGGTTTAGGAATATGAATTTTATACAGTAGATTTATAATAAAAAACCATTTTTTTAGGTAATTTGTAGTAAAAAATAAAAAACAAAAAATTGAAAAACTATAATATATATATATGTGTATATAATGTTATTGGAAAATGTTACTCATGTCCCGTTACGGAACCATTCCGTCGAGATTCGTAACCGTTAGATCATCATGTAACTGGATAATTGATCTAACGGTTACAAATCCCGATAGAATGGTTCTCTCGGAACAGTAGAATCTCCCAATGTTATTATATATAGTACTGCTGTGTTGTTTTAAAAAAATGAATCATAATTTATAATTGTTTCCAACACATTTAGAATTTAGAAATATAACAATATATACAATTAAAAATATTGTAGTAAAAAATAATTTTTATCTGAATTCATAATATATTTAAATAAATGCTGAACCCTATAACCATAAAAATATATATATATATATATATATTACATGATATCAGTTATCACACCATATCAGGAAATTCCCACAAGAAATTAATAGTTATAATTATACTAACTATAATTATACTAACAATAGAATTTATTTTTATTTGATAATGAATGAATTAATCTATAGAGACTTATATATATTCATGTAGGAAGCCATTAGAGTTTCAAGATATTATTATATACTTGTGTTTATTGAGAATTACATCTAAATAATAATTTATTGATTTGATTTGTCCACAAATACATGATGCATGTTCACCTCAACCTAAACAAGATTAGGTCACAAGTGACAACAATCATGTACTATATCTTTGGAGATAACATTTTAAAATAAATAAAACAGCATATTTTATATGAATAATAAAAAAAATCTTCCTAAGGAATATCATAATCATAATAACAATTATTTATAATTGAAATGCAAATCTTTTTAAAATGACCTGCACAGAAATTAATTAATTAATTAATTAAGTGGTTAAAAGAAGGCTGTCCTGCTCCTGTGAGAGGACAAGTTAAACCAAAATTCGTATTATTAATTATTATTATTAAGTAACAAAACCAGTAACCAACCACCACATGGACTTCAACAGCTTAATATCGTTTGGCGTTTAAATTTTAATTAATTAATTCAATAATTTTACTTAATTTTTCATTATTGTCACAGAATTGGACTTGTCAGCATGCAATATTGTCGTGATTAGTTGACATAATTAACTCAGTTTTCTCCTAATCACGCCATTAATTTAGCCGCCTCCTTAATCATATCCAGAAAAATAATTTTAACTACAAGTCAGGATGTCAATAATGTAAATTTCAGTTTTATCAAGATTCGATAACATAAAAAATATGATAATTGTACTTTTTTTTTTTTGTTAATAATTTTACTTTTCAAAAAAACCAAATTGTTTTTCATATATATGTCATGACGAAACTCATGTCTAGCTCATGGGCCTTCAAAATATTGGAAACCTCTCGAATGTGTCTTGATGGGCCCACATAGTGTTGCCCAATTGTCCCAATTCCGTGGGCCGTCAAATTTTCTCTCAGAGAGAGAGGCCCAAGCGTGTCGTTTCGAACAAAAAATTCATTCAGGATTTATATGAAAAACTAATATTCAAACTTTTAACCATAATAAAATTCCTAAAATTAAGTCATTAAATAAAAAATAGTTGAAAATATACATACAAACGAGGAGACTACGAAAAAACAGTATAAATAGAACAGAACTATGGATGCAAAGCTGATAAACAAGCCCAAGCTCGACTCATTTTTTAATATTAACGAGTCGAACTCGAGCCTCAACTATATGAAGTATATGAAATTGATATGAGAATTTCTATTTTTAACTGAGCTAACAATAAGGATAGTAAATCTGTCCATCAACTTGTATTCTATCATGGATACCAGCTGATCAACAAATAACAGGATTTTCTCTAACGTAAACTAGTTCTATTGAATTTAAGTGATACTTTGTTTTTTTCTCTTTCCATATATATGTACCTCAACTTGAAATTTACTCTTTCAAAAAATAATCTTTTCAATCACAGTGAATTATGCAACCAACAAAGATGAAAAAATCCTGAGAAGAAATTAGAAAGATTACTGGAATCAATTATGATATATTCATAAACCCCATGCAAGCAAATTATTCATACTTCCTGTTTTACATGAGAAAAACAGATCCCACATTCATAGAAACTTGCAGACTTGACAGTTTACACAATCGACCCTTTTGGTCGAATGCTAACTCCTTTTACCAGTAGCCCTCTCTTCCATATTCCTCCCTCATATTCATATATCGAAAACTCTATCTCCCCAAGCTTCTCGGGTGAGCTTCTGAATTCCCCTGCCGTTATTTCAAGCCATTTTCCTCTTGGCTTTTCCAGCAGATTCTCCTTGTGTTCCTGTTTGCTTCCATCTGGCAATGTGAGTCTCACATTTACGGGGAGTTCCCATCCGTAAGCTGGATCCTTTAGCTTCAAAACAAAAACTATTTCGTAAATTGTTTCTGGTGATAAGTTAGAAAGCTCGAATTTTCCGTGCAGCTCTAGCCAGCAGACATCGAGCAGTTCAGCAACTTCAATAGCTTCATCACTGCACAGTGCACGTCGTAACTTAATTTTGAAACTAAAGCAAATACATATTGTAACTAGAAATAGTAACTTAACAGAATTGTTCATATTCTTTACTTTGCTGATGTTAGATGCAACGGTTGAATTAGGAGCTTTGTTTGTAACACTTGTTTTATTCCTTTTTATGTTTTTTCGGAAAGATGAAAATTATTTTTTCTTTACCTCGACTCTTGCAGCAAGGGCCAACGCCACAAGCGGCTATCATCGGCCCAAGTTATAGAAAGATCTCTTGCGTACAAGAAGAAACAGTTGCGGTTTGAACCCTTCTCGACCCAGTACTTCTGCAAATTAATCGACCCAAGCACCGTATATTGATAAATCAGTTAGGTTATACATCAATCAATCATTCTCCTTAAATTTCATAACCAATAGCCATAAAGAAATTTGAAAGAAAAAAGAAGAACAAAAACGCATACTAACCTTTTTGTTTTGGTTCAAGAATACACCAGCATGAAGTTGTTCCAATATCTTGCTCGGTGATGATCTATCAACAGGTGAATTGGCATGCTTCAAAATACCTTCATAGTTATGAGGTAATGCAACTTCTTTGGTTTTCTGATTGGCTTCGGGATTAGTAGTGTGACTGCTCTGCGTGTTGTTACTTGGTCCATTAGCACTTGGCTCCGATGGCTTATCTTGTGATATCTCGGCTCCCATAATGTCTCGAACAGAGGAAACGAATTGGATGCCCCCTAATGCGTTCTTTAACTGTGATTTATATATCAAATTTGTGCGAGAACCTCCTTATTCTTTTATACTTTGGAATCAGATTCAAAGTAGTGTGATAGTTTTGGCATCTGATTCCTGTGATACAATTTATTCTTTTGGAATCAGAATAGGCCATAATAATGTGTTCTGTTCCTTACATCCTAAGCATAATTCTGTTTCTTTTAGAAAAAGCGACACCTTGTGTGTGTGTGTGTGTGTGTGTGTGAGAGAGAGAGAGAGAGAGAGAGAGAGAAAGAGAGATTTCTTACTTTTCTTCTTCTTTAGTCCATGCAATAATTTATAGCAGGATTTATCAGGGATGACAACTTATGTAGGAGTCAAATGTGTTTATCGACTTCACAATTCATACAAACCAACTGTTTTGCTTCTCACGAAGCAAATTCATAAAATTCACTAAAACAAGGATCTTTAAGAAAAGAAAATCAAGGAGGCAAACGCGCAAAGCCAGATTTTTAACAGTGTATGTATTGGTTCAGTTATAACTTAAAAAACTGATGGGGAGGAGAACGTGAATCAAAGAAAACATGCGATATTACAGATCAAATTTAAATCAGAATCAATATATAATCGATCAGTAATAAATCTGATACATTTTCTGAGCACAAACCACTTCATGCCAGTAAATTACACAATCACTCTAATCAAAGCATGTAGACTCCAATTCTTCAGGAGTCACCGTCCTGTGCAGCTGCAAATCACATAAAACAGTTGCAGAACAAGAAAAAAACACATCAATCAAACAATTGTATATTCCTGTTTAAATCTGTAAATTCAGAGAAGAAGTTAAATAGTTCTATAGCATATTGCACCTTCCTCTTCCACAATTACCTGTCTAGAAAGGTAGTTGCCATCTAGACAGATATTTGTGGCAATGCTGTAAAATTATACCCGAGTCGAAACAAGTTCACCAACAACAAAAAATACAAAAGGACATTAGAAGTGCAATCAAAACTGCACGCATGTCTTTCCTCTGTTCATTAATCACTACAGCACCTATTGCCTCAAGCTCTAATTTTTTCTACATAGAAAAGAAGCCTTACAGCATTGGCAGCAGAAAACCAGTGAAAGGCACGCAAGAAAGCATCGTCCTTTGAGGGCATGGCATCGTGATTCCACACAGTAATATTCTGAAAAGTCGCATTTGTTTCCCAGTATTCACATCCTCCCGTGCTAGTCTCCTTACCATGACATTTCTTTCCCAAGATAAAGCCTAAATGGTATCATAAGCACACATCAGTTTCAGAGATAATTGCTTTCAAACGACCCAAATATTGGATCAAGAAAACAATAAACTCTGTACTTTCACAACAGCAAGAATTTCTTTCTAAACGATCAGCAAATGTAGCAAAATAACCCATTTTTTTCTCAGTAAACGCAGTCAGTTGACCTCATTTTCAGGGTCGTGTGCAAAATTTACAAAGCAAAACACATAACCTCACAGTTACACACACAATAAATCTGATGAATCTCATTCAAGAGAAATATACATTTAGCAGCAACCACTGATGAAAATTACCAGAATAGCCTTCCGGCAGGGGGACGGTGGTACCGTGTAATTTCCTCCCTCGAAAATGCGCTTCTTCCACCTTCAGCCCGTCCACCTCCATACCTGCATACCAAATTTTCTACTAATTGAAAACCTGAAAGTGATACAACCAAAACCAGGTACAGGCACACAATGCACAAGCAATCAACTATTGTACGTTGTGCTTTCACGCGTTGTGCGTAGTACATATGCGTGTCGTACGTCAAGGAACTCTACCTGTGTGTTTGGGCTTGAAGTAGTGAGAAACAGAGGTGGGACCGTCGTGCTTGATGCAGCACGGAAGATGATGCACCTTCCCCGTCAGGTCCGCCACCGCCGCCCTATCTCGGCTCAGATCGACGGTGGTCTGCGCGGCTGAGCCTGAGAGCGATGATCCTCCATCTGCACCGTCCATTTGATGGAGAAAATATCAGCGGCCCGCGCGTTCCTGTGGCCTTCAAAAAGCCCTAAACCTTCCCGCGAGCTTGCTAATTTATATCAAGAATTTTATGAATTATCACATCTAAACTGAATTTTGTAATAACCTTGCTTTTAGAAAAATATTTGACAAATTAATATAATAATATTAGAATTTAATAATTATATATATTTTTAAGAATAGTTTTAATATTCGAAATTTATACGAATTCGAATTTGAATTTATACTAGTTCGATCCATAATTATTGAATATTCAATTCGTAATCAATAATTACCAAAAAATTAATACATTTTATGGAAGATGAGATATTATTTATAATATATAAATAAATATATTAAGTATAATATAAAACAAAAAAAATTATGTATATTTAAAAAAAAAAATTCTTTATATATTTATTTTTAAAAATGTAAATTACATTCAAAAACTATATTTAATGAATATGAATATATTACTATATTGAATATATTCTTATCAACATATATTAATATTTTTATGAAAAACTTTTGTAATCGAATTTCAAATCACATTGAATGAACACAACTATCTTAATCAAATTAAAACTAATCACGAGATAAATTCAACGACAAATCGAATATAAATACAAATTATCGAATATTTTTACTAATTCAAATCAAATAGTAGAGTATTCATTTCACTTCAATTCGTTTACAACATAGTAACATACTAAATTTGCATTAACAATATTGTTAAATTAATCGAGTGAAATACAAACACAATTTGGCTTGGCTCGATATAACAACACTCCTAATTGTTTAACCAAACTGCATCAACCACATGTCTACATGCAATTCCCCTTTCCTTAAATGCTACAAAACACAGATCACACATAATAATATTATAACATCAACTACAGAAAGCATAAACTTTAAAGCTAAATGATGCTAAGATATACTCTGCACTGCATCCTTGAACTAAATTGCACATCAATTTTCCGAATCTGTTAAAACGGGGCTCTCCAATTCTTCCATCCGAGCGGATGCAAACGATTCCTCACTGTCCACGGACGAGAGGGATGAAGGGGACTCGTCCGAATCCGAGATGATCTCATCATCCATCATGATGTGTTCATCCCTGTCATCAATCTCAGACGCGTCTGAACCAGACCCGACCATGAGAAGCTTGTTTATGGCCCCTTTTGCAGTCTCCACAAACCACTCGTCCTCCGGAAGTGAACTGTCAAAAATACATGAATCTCGTTTACCGAAGAAAAAAAAAAGGCGTTTGGTACCGAAAAAGTTGGTATGGTTAGTTGTTAGTGAGATTTTTTTGAGTTTATATTAAAATAATATTTAAAATAAAATAATTAAAGTTGATTGGATATAAAAGTATGAGAGATGATGTGAAGTGATATGTGAGTGGATAATTAAAGTTGATGTGATGTCTAAAAATGGTTGATTGATACTCCTATTATTTAATTATATTGATAATATTGAAGATGGTGTGATTGAGTTAAAGTTGAGCTAGATTTTAAGTATGAATTGAGTTTATATATAAACATATTTGCTTGTTACCTTTGTGGGTCAATTCCTCGGGCAGAGAAAGCTTTCACTGCGCGTGCAATTATGTCGGATGAAATCTTGTGTACGTGCCTCGATGGGTATCCAGCAAACCGTGCGATTTCGACTGTGAAGTGCATGTCAAGTACTAACTGCAAAATATGAGTATCGCGAAAATGAATATTTAGATGCATTTTTAATCATGTGAACTTTCAACCAAGTAAATATAGGAAGATTTCGTGTTGTAAGAAGTAAGAACCTGCTGCAATCCAAGAGGGCGAAGAGGAGCAGAATCATGCTCAAGAACACCCCAAAATTCCTGTTCATCAGACAGCCACATCACCACTGTCTCGGTTAGCCTAGCCAGCAAAACCTTTTGTATCTTCTCTCTTCCCAACAGAACATCACCAGCCACGGCTGCTAGCTGCTGAAGCTTCCCAAATAGTGCCTGCACGATATGATCTATCTAACTGACTCCCAAGATAAAATGCAAAGTTACGTTTGTACCTATAATTCTACAAACGATCTAAAGAGGTGTTATCTACAAATTTCGCCCCACCAAATAAAAGAGACATTTCGAAAGATTTTGAACAACTCCTACACCATACAACACTTTCAACAACACATTTTAATCGAAGGCAGCAAAATCAGGCACAACACAATAACAAGACAAAATAAATGATAATAAAAATTAAAAAACAAAATAAATAAATACCTGGAACGGCAAAGAGGGTAGAGGATCAGCATTCCGCGTCAAATCTTGCCCTTTACCACGTAAATATATCTGTGCATCCAATCTAGTCTCCCCATCTCGTGAATATATGAAACTCAAAACATATTGCCGACAGAAATGATCTCTTAGCTTGTCCAGAGAGTGCTGAAGCTGACGTCTCCAATCTTTAGGATCGACACTGATGTTGACCAGAGGCAATAATACATTATCAGCCTGCCCGGCCCCAGCTTCCTTGCTCTCGTTCAGCACATTCCAAATTCGGGAGACCACCATAGGCAGCAGCTCCTCAGCAATAGTGAAGGCGGTCCCCAGTAACGCGAGCTGCTGGGAGTCTGTCTCGGCTTTGAAAGGCACAGGGTCCTTCAAATCTGACAGATTGTCGTCTTCTGTGGGCCCGGTTAGGGATTTAATCAAGATATCGACATATCTATCGAAAAGCTGCGCGATTCTGGTCAGTATGTTTCCCCCAAAATGTAGGATGACTGAGCGTGTTAAATGCTCGACTATCTCCTGAAGTAACACAGGTACATGAATCAGTTACATCTTATGTGTTGACTCAATGCACCACCAAATTTTCACTACTTTTCAAGCCAAGATCACTAGCTATAACTAATCAGTTAATATAATAAAATATAGTGGTGGTTCTATACCAATTATCCAGCTTGTATGTCATGCAACAAAAAAATAGCACATAAACACAGAGATTTGTGCGTGAGAT